CAAGTGTTTGCGCTCTGCTTGAGACAAGGTGTCTAGTCTAAGCCCTGTGACAAAGCACTATTGGGCACAATGGGACCAATTAAAGCTTGCAGATGGTATTCTTCTCCAGAGATGGCAAACTACCGATGGGAAAGTGACGACTTGGCAAACAGTTATACCGAGGAAGTTATGGGAAGTTCTGCTGCGTCAATCCCATGATAATTTAACAGGAGGACATCTCGGAATCAAGAAAACATTGAGTCACATACGACAAAGATGTTACTGGCGAGGTATGAGGCGAGATGTGGAAGAATGGTGCCGAACATGCAGTACATGTTGTGCTAAAAGGGGACCCAAGCATAAGGGACGTGCTCCAATGAAGTTAATATCAAGTTGGTGCACCAATGGAAAAGAGTAGCCGTCGACATTGCTGGTCCTCTGCCCCAAACTCGTGCTGGAAACAGGTACACTTGTGTGGTGATGGATTATTTCACCAATTGGCCTGAGGAAGCTACAACTGTAGCTTTGGCTATAAGTGATTTCTTCTTCAGGTTTGGTATGCCGTACGAACTGCATTCTGATCAAGGCTGTAACTTTGAATTAGCTGTGTTCCATGAATGCTGCAAGTTTTTTGGCATCCGAAAGACCAGGACAACGCCACTTCACCCACAGTCTGATGGGATGGTAGAAAAGTACAACTGGACATTGGGACAAGAATTGGCAAAGTTTTGTAATAGCCTTCAAGATGACTGGGATGTCTTACTCCCTCCATTGTTGATGGCCTATAGGACAGCAGAGCATGAAACCACCGGATACACTCCAGCAAAGTTGATGTTTGGTCGGGAACTTCGGTTGCCAATGGATCTGTTAACAGGACGCCCACCTTATGAAGAGTTTCCTGAGAATGTGTCAGAGTCTTTGTGAAGGTGTTAACAGAAAGGATGAATGATATTCACCATCAAGTGCACTCAAACTTGAAAACGTCTGCTGATTCGATGAAGTTGTCTTATGATAAGGGATCTACTGAAGTTAGCTTTGTACCAGGAGACAAGGTGTGGTTGTATAATCCCAGGAAGACCAAAGGGAAGTCTCCTAAGTTGTCTTCTCCATGGGAAGGCCCATATGACATAGTGGATCGTCTCTCAGACGTGACTTTCCGGATAAAATGTGGTCAGCGAGGTAAGCTAAAGGTGGTGCATGCCAACAGCCTTTGGCGTTATCACGGTCCAGGACATTTCAGTTGGGATGAAGTGAACATCGGAACAAATGACGCTGCTGAAGACGTGTCACCTGAAAAAGCCACTGTCGAAGAAGAAACTCTATTCGGTTTTGAGAAGGGAAACAGTGAAGCCCTTGATGAAGTTACTGTTACTGATGTGACTGTTACCAACGATAGGACGTTTCCTGATGAAGGAGATGAACCCCACATGAAGCAGAAGCCAACGAGACAGAGACCAGTGCGGAAGAAGATACGTCCCTAAAAATTAAAAGACTTTGTTGAATTTTAATTTTGTGTTTGTAAATTCTGTACATTTAATTAAGTTATTGTTAATTGTTTATTAGTTTAATGTAAGTGGCTATTGTTCGGGATGAACAATACTAAGGAAGAGGCAGTGTTACGACAGGTAGTAAGTAAAGTGCGTGATTCGTTCGTTGAGAATTAGAGAGTGTGTTTAAGTGACTGTGGAAATTAAGTGTATTGCAAAGTTGTATTGAGAAAGAAAAAACTAGTTTTATTTAAGAATGGACTTGTATCGCTGAAGTTTCTCGGAAAGAATTTCTACCTGAAATTATCAAACGAGCAGAGACGTAACAATATCTTATAACTCAACCACAGCCCGAAAGTGCAAAACATGATTTTGTGACTACGAGCCGCCTACCGTGGACTTTATTCAATGTCTGGCATGTTAACTACAAGACAACGCTCAACCCTAAATAACCCTTCTTTCTAAAATGTGTAGTGATAATTTTAATGGTTTGGTTTGAATTTCGCGCAAAGCTACACGAGGGCTATCTGCGCTAGCCGTCCCTAATTTAGCAGTGTAAGACTAGAGGGAAGGCAGCTAGTCATCACCACCCACCGCTAACTCTTGGGCTACCCTTTTATCAACGAATAGTGCGATAGACCGTCACGTTATAACGCCCCCACGGCTGAAAGGGCGAGCATGTTTGGTGGGACGGAGATTCGAACCTACGACTCTCAGATTGCAAGTCCTTAAGTGCCCCAACCACCTGGCCACGCTGGGCCAATAATTTTAATACCAAAAAATTTACTCGAAGTTTACCTTTTCATTTTTTATTACCGTTACTGGCATATAAATAACAAAGTATTTTTTTCACCGATTCGACTAAAATTTGATTAGTATAAGTAAGTCAGATTATGAAACTAGGAAAAAACTAGATTCATGTGCGTATCTTTAAAACAATATCACGCCGTTTCTTCGTGACTAATCTATATTATAATAAAACCCATGAGCTTACCTCATCAGTTGTTTATTTTACTCGATAAAGAATTTCCCTGAAACTTAATGATTCGAATAGTAAAAGTAAACACAAAACTTGGCAAGCTGTTCAGTTAAATTGTACAATTTTCTACGAGCTTTTACAGTTTACGTAAGTGTATTTCTCGACATGACAGTGAGCTATTTTGATAAAGTTGTTGCAAATAGATAAAAATCGTTTTTGTCATGGCCGTCGAGAGCGGCGGCGGCGGTACCCCAGCGTGATCCAGGAGCTGAGCCCCTGATGGGAGACAAAGAGGGAAGCTCTAGACTTTTAGTAATATTTTAAGTCTTAATACCACAAAGTTTCGGCTTAAAGTGCCGATTTCCTTTCTGAAATTTTCAGTGGACAAAGGCCTTTAACAATCAACAATATTATTCTAAGAAAAGAAAAAACGTAAACATCTGTTCATTTAACTGGATAATTTATTGAAAGTTTAAACACATTGTCGAGAATTGCTTTAATGAGTTCACTAATGCAGAATTGTGATAACTATTCGAAACATGCTTTACGTGCCTTTTTTAAAGCAAATGTTTTTATTATTTCATTGAAGTCAATTCTCCCCACAAGTTCGCTCTCAATAATAAGGACGGCGAGGTCATTCAGTCTCTCCTGTGTTATCGTGCTCCTCAAGAAGATCTTGATGAGTTTCAGTTTGCTGAAACATTTCTCAGCAGATGCTACTGTAACTGGCAATGTGCAGAATATTCACATACATTTGGAAAAATGCCATCTAACCTGTACTTTTTTATTGTTTCTAAAACTTGATATTGCCCCATATCTTCACCAAAGTTTGATGCATGTATTGCCTTAAGGTGCCCCATTTCCTCTTGCATGGATTCTGAGATCGTCTGGGTATTTATCCACTAATCTTGCGCATGCAAGTTTGAGTTCCTCTTCTATCATGCTTCGATATTGCCACAGAAAAATCTATTGTGTTTGCAGCGTCAAACCGCTTTGACACTTCGTCAATCACCGAATCAATGACAACAAAGACATTCCGTTTGAATTCAGGCTCATCAGAGACATCACAAGTATTTTCTAGGGCGTTCTCCCCTGTTATGTTATATGTTGTGAAACTAAATATATTTTTCTACTATTTTTATTTTAGATATTAAATTTTTGTATACATATTTTAATTTAAAATTTTCTGTTTTGCTTCAATTTGATCGGCATCCATTGATTATTAACGATTTGGAAGAATCACGAATCAACAAGAGATGGAAATGAGTAATTTACAAAATTCAGTTAGGTTTGGCTAAGTTAAGTACAAAGTTTTGTTGTTTTAGTTGCGCTTAATTTAAATTAAAACTTTAATATTGATACAACTGAGAATAAGATATTGATAAGTGATAACAATAAGATACTGCATTATTTAACAAAAGCAAATCATTCTTTTGGTATGAAGTTTAACCTTGACGCTTAGCCTAATATGGAGGTTATACTAGGCCTATGCGGCTAAGCGTAAGCCAATAGGCTTATCGTAAAAGTTAAAACCTTGGTTTTTAAGTCTTTAGGCCATTTGCAACATTAAAAGAAAGCTACATTGCTACTAAGGAAATAGCCTAAATGTATATGTAATTAAGAACAATCGATGACTAAACAATTACTTACACTTATTTGCAATGAACACTTAACAACAAGGAAGTATGTGGCGATTGGGCCCTGGCGCATAGTGTCGGATGCAGAACTGTACATTACACGAGGTTTAGCAGGAAGGAGGTCGCCGTGTTCTAAATTTAGAATATTTGGCAGTTGGCGAAAGTTATGCTGGAATTTTGGATGGTGCGCTGGAAAGCGCTCGCAGCGCACAAATCTCTCTTTAGTGCGAAATTTTTGTCTGACTTTTACTCGAAAATCTTTGTTTTAACTGTAAGTTGCATTAGCATTACCAGCAGTTTTTGAATGTTCTATTGCTATAACTGTTTGAAGGAAATTCCTTTATTCAGTCCAAAGTTATGCTATTTTCCATTTTGAACTTAGCTTGGCTTGTAGAGTAATTTCGCATCAGTTATTCTGGTCTATGGATTCTTAGCTTAAGAGTATGCAAATTTTTAAAAAGTCGAGTTTAAAGTTGGGGCATTTTTTATGAGCCCTTGGGCATTCACGGGTCCCAGGGTAGTTACCCCCTCTCGGTGGGCCTGATTGTTGAAGTTAGTAGCCTAAACGATCATCAAAGTTTACCCATTAGAACGGATGACAGCGAGATATCTATCAAACTTAGAGTAATTTGGTTCAGTAAACGACATTAGTGGAATACTTCACCATGAACAATTGTTATATTAATCTGGGTTGGGATTGATCCTTTCATACTGAAATCAATTCAAGAACAAATTAAAAACCAAACTCCAATGTTTTATATCCTTAAAATCATGCTTGTTTTATACCATTAAAATTCTTCTATTACGCTCATCAAAAATTCTCAATAAAGCTTTTGAAAAACGTTGGCACACGTAGAAAGATTTTGTTTTTAAATCCACTTTAACTTTTTTTTATTTGATCTGCTCCAAACCACGTCATAACTTGCCTTCCAAACATTCTTTATTCCGGTTTTTACAAATACATTTATCTAATCACCATGTCCGACAGAACTCAGTTATATTCTTTCAAAATTCTCAAGGTACAGTATTTTAATAGCAATTCATAGAAAAACACATCCTTATCCCCGCCTTTTTTTTCTAAAGTTAGTTGTGACAAAATAGACATTTTGTAGAAAAAGGATTAAACATACCAAACCTAGAAAATTTAACAACAAATTGCCTAGTACAGTCCACTTAAAACATTAAAAAATTGCACGTCAACAATAATTACTGCATGTGGATGAATGAAATGCATCTTAAGTTTAACATTCTGTTACAAAAATCCTAGTTGTTAGTTTCTATAATTGCAGAAAAAAAATGATTATAAACGAAACATTTTTTCCATAATAGTGTAAGAAAAACCTTAGCCAGATCATTAAAACAATTGAATACAAGTGTTAATTTTTACCTTTATGAGTGTATCAAAGCAACAAAAAATGGTTGAGAAAAGTGTGCTGTGCCCTTGACAGATTGAAACATATGGAATGTTCATTATTTTAGAACATGAGACATCTTAAATGTATTCAATATTTTACTTTAAACCTTATGTGCCTAAAAAGCTTTTTTTCCATATAATACCAGTTGAAAAACATGGCTAGACCATCCAAAGGTATTTTAAGAAATCCTTGTTACTGATGATGTGTTTGTGAATTTGAAGCAGAACATTTACAATTTTTGTGTTCTAAATATTTTACCTCAGAATTAATCCTTCTTTTAGGTTTTTCTTTTTAAAATTTATATAATTGTGTGTGTGTGTGTGTTAAGCATGATGTGTGTGAACAAAAATGTGAAATGCAGAACACTCCTTTACTAAAAGCCTGTTTGATCATCAATACCTGAAATTATCATCACTACATTACATACTAAAAAATACTGAAACACAATACAAAATGAGTGGTTATAAACACAGATCACCCATCCGAATTTCTCTAGAGTGAAAATCAGGCAACACCTTAACTACATGCATACAGTCTTAAACCAATAAAAACACAGAGCATCAGTGCAGAAAACATTATTCTTCAGTCATAAAGAAGTGACAGAATTATCATAAGAATTGATAAGGTTTCATTCAGAGATTAAACAATATTCCATGACTAATCACTGTAATCTTTCACACAAAATAACCAATGAAGAAGTACCTTTATTTGGTTAAAAAGCACAAAATCTTCCATTTCTTCTTTGTCAAATAATTTAGAAAATGCTTGTTTGGAAAAGTAGAGTATTTATAAATCTTAGTAAATCAGTACAAATCATTTTAAGATTGAAATAGTGCTGGTAAGTCTTACGCAATGTTAATATTTACAATTAAATTTACATATTTGTTGTGCTTCCCAGTGATATTCAATAAATGCTGTTACAATTACTCCTAGACAGGGATAAGTGTAAGAAAATGGGAGAAACTACACTGTATGATGACAGCTTTTGGTTTACGGTTAAATCTGCAGAACAGCACTACAGTAAAGTAACATTAATTAGCTTTAAACAAGTAGTTTTTTGTTACACAAGAAATATATAATTGTAGTGACATACATGGAAACCATAATAACTTTGTTTGTCTATTCAATCTTCGATGTCTTTTATTAGAAAAACTACTTCTCACATCTGGTTTCTTTTTATCAAGACATGGTTTGGCAAAAGTGAAGTTTCAAGAACAGAAAATTCACACAGAGTACAGAATATTTAAATGAAAAACACAACAGCTCAGATTAAGTGACAAAGCATCTGAACAAGCTAAGTAAGTGGAAATAGATATGGAGAGACAAAATGCTGTGTGTTAACATTGAAACAAAACTTATACCAGAATGCTTAAATCATTATTATATTTTTCAAAATCAAATACCTAATAAATAACTGTAAAACAATCATTAAGGCATTTTTTATGTTTTAATACATACTATTAACATATATCTAAACATTAGTAAAACAATCTGAATTCTTTCTTATCTGTTAAAAACTGTTTATCTTGCACTATATTTTCATAAACCCAGTTCAAGATAAAACAATATATATAAGGAGATATTTTTCTTTCAAAATACATCATTACTAACTATATATAAACTATGTAACAAGTTAAAATTGATCTATTTCTTTGAATAACCAAATATATGACCTCAGGTTCTGAGTAGAACCTTTATCATATTTGATCTTAATTATACCCAATAACATGTGTTACATTCTCTGTCCATACCTGTCAAGATGTCATTATGACTGAAAGAATAAAAGTATAGTTAGGAATAATATGGAAAAAATAATGATTAAGGTCATCTTCCAAAATATAGAATGACTAAGTTTAAGTGAAAAAAATAAATAAAAGATTCCATGAAGATCTTCATCTACTTTCATCCAATATATGTTCTTTAAATAGTATTATTCTTGTGAGGTAATGTATTGAAAATAATGTATATAGTTTTGGAAAAATCTCAAGTAACTATTTTAAGCCTTCATGAGGTGGACCCAAAGATCATTACAGTATTCTAAATTAACACGCTAATACTAATGTTCTGAATGTTTTAAATGAACACCAAAAATATGTTATTTCTTTCCTTTTTTTTGAGCACTCTCCAAAATGATTTGATCCAAATTTTCCTAGCTATACTATAGTCTAGATACCGAAAGCATTAGATTCATTCATTCACCCATAAGTCTAGATATATAACATGGTATACTGTAAAATAACAATTCTAAGAAATAAGTGACAGAACCCTTTAATAAAAACTATTATTTGCAATATTAATAATAATTGCATGGTTATAACATGCCACCAGTTTTCCAATAACAAAAACTATACAGACACTGAAATAAATTACACCCTTGTATGGATGTTATGGGTAAAGATGACAATAGGTAATACATCAGCTTTATGACTACCCTCAAACTCTGTAAATAGTAAATGCAACTTGGTCTATTTTGAATAAAATTAAAATAAAGAGAAAAAAATTAGAATATGGAAACAGTGAAGAACCAGATTCTTGAGGTATGTTGTACAGTTTTTCCCCTTACCCGTTGTAACTCTGAAATGTACAGAACCAAAAAAGAGGGAACCACACTTAATGAGCTACAGAGCAAAATAACTGTAGTATCTATACTCTCATCTACTAAACTTAAATGAAATCCATTCAAAGAAATGTATTTCTTTATAAGATTTTCAACAAAGTAAAAATAACTTTATGGTCATTAATGATAGAATGAGACAATCTCTTCTATCATGAGGTGTCCAAATGTATCAAACAAACTTTCAAATTATTACTATTTTTCTCTAGAAAAAATACTTAGCTCTTTTATTTAATTATAAAAATAATCAGTAGAAATTATCTAAGCAAAATAAAGACATCTGTTCTCTGTTCAACAAACAGAAAGTTAGGGGTACCTTTGTTAATAAATTCATGTCAGCTAAGTCATATTAAATCTTTTTCAAAGACAAAAACTGTATAAAGTAAGCTAAATGTCATGATTTAAGATGAATTTAAAAACGAAAATAAAAAAGAAACATTAAAATATAAAATGTGTGGCACATGATGACAGTGACACTAAGAATACTCTATGCCACTAACTGGTCAAAATTCTTTGCCCGCAAATGGACGGATAAAGCCAAGCTGAAATCAAAGTCAGTAGCTCCCATAGAGATGCTGAAAAAGTAATTCAGAAACTTGTTTTAAAAATTAGATGTGTAACACCAATAATTTAGAAAACAATGTAACAAAAACAATTACAAAAAACTGGTAATCAATAATGTACTAAATTTCAGAAAAAACATCAGTTACAAAATTACGAGTTTATTATGCAAATGCTAGGAGATTAATTAAAGAATCATAACTAATTATAAAAAATTAGGCCATAACAAGTATCATTTCTCATATGTTAGCAACAAGTAATGCTGTAGTATTTCTAACAAGATTGTATGTACAAGTCTATTATTATACACTATCATTTAAAATTTTGGAAACAGACATGTATTTCAAGATATGAAGATAAAGACCCTTATACTCAAATTTACTGTCTATATAAATACTAAATATCAATAATATAATTGTGTAGATTTGGAATCAATCTAATTATTTTCACCTGGCCATCAGGTTTACTAAAGTGAGTAAAACATACCCACTTCAATAACAAAGACAATATTATGGAAATTTATCACATTTAAAAACAAAGGGAGGTAGATCATAATCTTGAGCTATTTTGGCACAAACAAACCAGAGACGCAATTACATAATTGTGGAAAGAATGCACAAAGAGGATTACAGCAGCATCCTAGAAGACATGCCATGCATGACCTTTGTTTTTAGACTTGTTGGCCAAGGTATTATTTTCCAACAAAACAATGATCCACAGCATACATCAAGGTTGCACTGAAGGAAAGGAACAACAGGGCACTATCCAAAGCAGCAAAGTCACAAGGATTACCACATACTGAACTTGAGTGGGATGAAATAAACAGACACGTGAAACATGATGCCACATAATATAACTCAACTGTGGCAATATATTCTTGCAGCCTGGAAGGCTCTAATGCCCAAATATTTTGGTAAACTGACTGACTGAGTGCCACAAATATGTAAAGCTGTCATTTAAGCCAAAAGTGGCAATTCTAATTAATCTAATAATTAAGTGAAAACAATAAAATTGTTATTATATTTGTAAGTGTCCATTTACACAAGTTAAACACTATTGGTATTATAAACAATATATGTGATAATACTTAAGATTATTTTTATATAATCTCAAAATATACCTTCCAATCTTTTGAATGGTAGTGCACATGTTAAGATACTGTATCCTTCATATATTTTCGGTTGTAAACTACACAACTCATGGAAATTACCAATGTGTTTGATGATAATGCATTTGGTTTGCAGTTACCACATACTGTTATAACCGTATTGATTGAATAAAAGACTGTTATACTATATATAACTATTCAGACAACATAGAAGATGCACAAATAAATCAAAGGTAAAAATTACTTCTTGGGAAAGGGTGAATGTATCCTAGTAACTGCTGAAATAGTACCAACCCAACAGTAGATATATATATATATATCATCTATCAGATTTAACCTCTACTTGCAAGCCTTATACATGTGTGAAAGAAGCTAAAAATAAATAAATTAAGAGAATATATGGGTGCTCTAACCCACAATGTTTCAAATTATGTTATTTCTCCTAATGAAACACCATTATAACAAGTGTAAATTGCATGTATGATACAACTATGTCTTACTAATGTTATACTGTATGTTTAAGCCCCAATTGATGTTGCAGTACCTGGGAATATTTACTGTGTACCAGTGACCTTTACCTTCAAAAGTTTATCAAATCTATAAGTTTGTATGTAGTACCCTTGTATGTAGTCAAAATCCATCAATACAACTTTGAGATATCCTGTCCACAAGACCAGGAGAGACAAACAGACAGGGGCAAACCAACATGCTCTGTGTTGCTTCATAGTGGAGACATAAAAGTAAAGATCGATTACAACAACTGGACTACTGGGGGGTGATAAATAAAACTTTTCTGCATTCCAGCGCACATAACAGTCGTATACCTATAAGAACAGCATAATAAAACCTATGATATACAAGTTAAAAATTACTACTTTTAAACAAGTTGAAAAAAAGGAAGATTTCTTCTAAATTACAAAACAACAATACTAACCTCACTAAAAAACCCACCCTAAACATTACATTGTTAATGAATATACACAATTTGATGAATAATCTTAAATACCCACATATTCTAGCTAACACACGTTCAGCCAATTACAAAAGTTACCTTTGTCATGTGGTTCACACTAAAACAGACATGGTGTAATTGAACTAGCCTATATTAAAATTATATATATAATTTTTTTACTACAACGATTTTTGACAGTTTTATTAAAAGCTTATTGATTATTAATTTCAAATTTGAGTAACATTTTATAATATTTCTATTAAATACTTGAAAACTAAGAAATCATATAGTCAAAAACTATTTATGTCAGTTTTATTACTTATCAATAGTAAAATATAGTATAAATATAAATAGTTGTAGTAAACTGTTTTAATTTAATTTTTATAACTGTTTCAAAAGAAAAAAATTACACAACTGTCTGGCTGCAGACAGTAAAAAATAGCTTTTAGGGGGAACATTGTGGACTTTAGGCTCTCATTGGATTTTTTTCTAAATGACAGACTTGTGAAGAGTTTAAACAAAGCCGTTCTCCAAGCATTATAAACCTAACAGATGATGTAGCCTTATGTTGGTGCTATTTCTGCAGTTACCTCTCTTACTGAGATATATATTTTTCCCTTCTTACAATGTAGTTTATACCATTGTTTTATTTTTCTGTTTTGTGTGTGATGCTTTTTGTTTGTGGCCTTGTTTGTTTTGAATATTCACACAAAACTACACAAGGAAAAATATATATTTTGTCCTCCACAAAAAATCATAACTTAAGGAACGTTTAATAAGTGAGCTTTATCATTTCCAAAATGAACTACAAATATTCTGAAAATTGCAAAACACCTAGACACAAAACTAAAAAAATTACTTTTTTTACAAATCCTGGCAACACAAATGCAGCTGTATGCATTTCTGATGTGTAATACTTCAGTTTCAAGGAAGATACTTCTTCAGATGACAAGACGTGCTGGGGTTTTCGAAAATTAGTTCCCTAGAAAATATAAAAATAATGACAAAAGGTCCCAATTCTAACATGATACAAGATTTTTGAAGCTTTGAGTAAAAGTAAACTTTACAACTTTGAAAAATATTCTGTTATAACAAAAAGTAACTGTAATTCATACCTTAGTTATAATGAGGCAAAAAACAAACAAAAAACACTGCTATACAATAATGTCAGTCTCCCCCATTAGTTTTCATGTGAGTAATTTAATGACCAATTACATGATATGATATGTAAATGACTTTTTATTCAGTCTGTTCTCAGAAACAAAAATTTTTAAAGGTGGCTCCACATTTTTATGATATATACATTTCACTTCAATATGGAATATGGTAATCATAAATACCAAGGAAAACTTGAAATCGATTTTGTATGTTTAAAATTGGTGTTCATAAAGTCTGAAGTATCTTTGACAACTCCTCTGAAAAAGCTATTTCTAGGGCATCTTTAGTGTCTGAAGTAACTTTAACAATGAACTATATTTTCTCAATAGCATTACATACATGCCAAATGGGATTGAAATATGATGAGTTTACAGACTATTCAATTCATTCAATTCCTTTTTCTTCAAGAAATGTTTTGACCAGTCCAATAAAAGTGTAGTTGCACCAGCATATGTCATAGGATGTAGTCCCTGTAATGTTGGTGCTAATAGTACCATTCTACAGAATGTAGAGGTTGGTATAATATTGACTAGTGCATATTCCTACCTACACCATAATTTCCGTTTTATGCTTGCAGTGAGTGGAATGTATCTCAATGTGTGTCTTACATAAAGGTAAGCCTTGTGAAGTCTGTTTTAAATATCAATATACTGACATGGCATCTAGGTGTGGTGGAAATAATCTGATTCGGTCTCTAACTGAGGTGAGTAAAATTGACAATACAGCAGTCATCTACTTGTATTGTGAATGATGACCTGACTTATTCAGTTGTGTGAGCAATTGTACCATAGGTTTGGAAGTAGTTCAATATCTTACTAACAACTCTAGTAACCCTATCACAAAAGCCAGCTGTGACTGACCAGCTCTCCTTCATCTGATAGCTCTCTTTGATAGCCTTCTTTGAGGTCTAGCCATGACTCAAGCATAGTCTGATGCACTTTTAACTCTGTGTTTCATATCAGAATACATAAGGCAGGATTGTGTAAGACCACTACAGTATAAATAAGATGGATAACCAAACATAAGTGTTTTTGATCACAAGACTAATCATCAGTTGCCTGATTTGAAGGGCAATGAACTAAAGGAGTGACCAATATTATTTTAAAAAAGTAGTTTTACATTATCATAACAACAGTATTAAAAATTTCGATAATCCTTTATTCTGTGAAGTGTATTCAATGGATGAACATCATAGTATGATAACCCATGGCACTTAATGAATATTATGTGTATATCATCTCTCACAGCATTTGGTAATAGCTTCAATCATGAGCAAAATTACTTGATGATTATCAATTTAATTCTGTTAAATATACATCGGTTGTCAGTGTGGTACCATGTGAATAAAAAAAATACTTTACAAACTTGTTACACCATTAGATGCAACAGGATATATACAATTTACCCCTAAAAACTAAAGGGCCAATCATTTAATATGGTCTAGAAAATTACACCTAAATGCAATTCCAAAATCTTTATTTTTTTCTATCATTCCATTCCTCATTAGTAATCCAGGACAAGTGCAAATCCAGAACAAAGATTTAAAAAAATTTTGGGAAATAAAAACTGTACTTACAGCATCAGTACTGCACAAAAGAAAACCAATTTGTCCACCAGGATAACTGGGAATATAAACTGAGGCATATTCCACAACTGGGTAGAGTTCTCGAGTCATATTCATCATGTTATGTATGAGTTTCAAGTCATACCAAAATGATTCAGCTTGAAAAAGATACCAAAAAAAGGGAAACATAAAATAAAAATATAAAATTATATTTACTTTTTGACTAAATTACTGATCTTCAAAATAAAGTGCTAAAAGACTGTGCCTAAAAGAAATAAGTCAAGCTATTCCTTATTCAGTCATTTAAAATTAACCAAGCCTACATTTTTGGAACCAAGAGTAAACCTTCAAATTAGAAAGTAAATGTTGTTAAACAATTTTCTCCATTTAAGGAATGCTTTGCATATTCTTTGTTATTTTGAAATTTCTCTTTTATTAACTATCTTCTTGATACATTTTCTTTCTCCAATCTTTGAATAAAAGCTGAAATATTTAAATATAAATATTTGTGTAAATGGTACTTAACAAACATTACAATCACATCTTTGTCACCTATGATAATAAATTACATCTACCACCTCATTATGACAGTTGCAGACTCATCATTCTGAATAGGAAATATATAAATTCCACACCTTTTCTTATTGGTGATTTTTTATAAATTGATAAGGGGGGGGGGGCATTCTACTTTGGGGAAATAATCCGTGTAAGATATGTAGTTGTGAATACAGAGCATGCATCCACAGTAACTACTGTGATTTAGCAATTTTCTGCATTTGGAAAGAAAAGTTGTTTCCACTGTATATTCCAAGAAATAAATTATAATGTGTTTAAATTGGGGCCTGAATTTTTTGACTGAGAGAACATACTGTAAAATCAAACTATTTATATAGAAACATGCATTATGCAAATTATAAATTTTTTTTAAGTATTCTTTGAAATATACTATTGGTCAGACACACCAAAATTTACCTTATAAATGCATTAGTTCAGGGTTCATAATGCTATATTTTATAGAATACAAGTTCAAGCAGTACTTATTTTGCAGCACAGATCGATTTTTGCTTTTGCACCCAAAAAAGATATTTCGAAGGGTGAGAAAAGTTTTTACCCTTCATGGCACTTCCAGACCTGAAAATTTAATCTATAATTTTCTAGGATCTCTCTCAGTTTTCAGAATCTGTACAAAACTTGGTATAAAAAGATCTAATAGATGGTAATCAAAGACATAAAAAAGGGACAAACATACAGTTTATAAAACAGATCATTTAAAAAGAATTTTGCATTTTATGCCTGGACATGTTTAGCTCCTAACTCTCACATTATCCTATGCTCTCTTCTTCCTTTGGGTGTGAGTTTGTCTCCAAATGAAGACAAATATATAAATGACTGATTGACTGTTAATATTTTGTGCGTGGATAATGAAAGGTCATTCATTGCTTAGATTTTGTAGTTGTCAAAGACTTCCTGAAATCTGTCACCACATTTGGGTGATACATTGGCTATGAAAAAGCATGTTACACTTAATGCATTGGATACAAAAACAAAACAAAAGTTATCATTTTCCTAATCTGAAAATGTATTTCAAAACAAACTTAGCTCCGCTGACACTTATAGCTATTTCTTTATCTTTGCCATCTAAACATTGTGTTCAATTGCTCCAGTCTTTATACACCACTCGACTACCCTTGGCAATATCTAATTTGCAAAACTTTACACCACCCTTACTATGCCCTCTATGCAGGTACTGTATATAAGCACCGTAGTCGACAATACAATAACTTTTTTGAGATTTACCCCATTCTGGTCACTAACACTGGCTCTTAGTGGGAAGGAAGGAAGGGAGAGTGCCAGCGGAGATAAGTATGTTTGGAAATACATTTTCAGATTAGAAAAATTATAACTTCCAAAAATACATACCTCCACTGACATCCCACATTGAGAAGGCACAGGGGTCAGTGAGGGCAGAAAGAGTTTGCATAGAACAAAGGCGTACCATGAGAGGTGGTACCCAAGCAGGGAAAACTGCAATACATCCAGTACAGGTATGCTCTACACCCAGAACCACAAAAAGTGAAAAGGGTGGAATATTATACAAGTAAGCATGATGGGCCAGCCCCAACCACACAGCCAAGGTTCCACAACTCGGGGCTGGATTTAAGGAGTCATGGTACCCATATCCCCCGATGGTAGCAAGAGCAGTTGGATTGTAATTATATACATATCTTTGTGATAGAATCCCCACCATCAGCCACAGAATGATGCATTTCAAATAACCGGATTTATGAAAGAAAGTAACACCAAAGTGGACAATCCTTCTGATCAGCCTGATGAAGTCCAAAAGGCAACATCCCAGGTTTGGATTGGCTCATATATGGTTTGGATCCCTCATATATGCCATACTCCACCCAAGGTCCAGAACTTATCTGGTCTGGATTTACAAACAGTCATTTTCACTCCCCAACCAAGTGGACAAGGAGAATTCCACTTACCCATGGAATTATGGAGTGGACGTGGAATGCTGTTCCACCAAGGGCCTAAGATGGGATCTCATTGCATTAAGATTTACGAGGAGATATTGGACCCCTTGCATGAACAACCTAAGACCTAACAGCGTTCATAAAAAGATCCAAGCACACCCCTACCAGATAGCTAAGCATCAAATCTGGATCGGTTTTACGAGTACACTGCTACATAGGTTGGTCCTGCTCCTAAGTACATCTGGGAAAAGCTTCCAGGGACCCAGGAAAGAGGGTCCCAACTTCGCCCTATTCTCCAAGAATGGAAAACACTCAACACTCCGAAGGAATATCCTCTGTCCACCACCCCAGCGACTGGGAACTGGGTGTGGTAAGGACTCTCCAGCTCCACTAGAAGCACTAGGGGACATGTGTGTGGTGGGGAGTCCTGAGGAACAGGCCTCTGGAGACGGTGCAACAGGTGAACAACATTCCCTAAGTTTTAAAAGCAAACCAATTTCAACTGATTCAACTCTAAGATCAACAGGAATTGGCAAAATCCCCTTTAGCTTTACTTATGATAGTCCATGAGTAGCAGTCCATTGGATTTGTATTGTGAGATAATACTACCATCCAGAATTACATCTAGATGATCTTATGGAATACCTCATCTCGACAGAGCCTGTTTCAACCATGAACCGATATAAAGGTTGCTAGTGTGGAATTGATAAAAATGCATACCTAATTGGGCAACACTCACCACTGAGTGGGATCCAAAGGAAATAAAGAGGGACCCTACAAGGAAAAAAGAAAAACTGTTGATCAGGTAAGAAAGTTACACATCTCCTTGTTAAAATCTAGCAGAGGTAGTCAACAAAGCCATGGGGGGAGAAGTAAAGTGCCAGATCATGAAGGTAATGATATAGGAAAGTGTTGGGAGAAGTCCACATATCAGCCTGCAAAATACCCCCCCCCCCCCACAGACAAGTGGACAATAACATTGATGGATGCCAAATCTGGTGAGAAGTGATGTGGAGTATATTCCGATCTACAACAGATAACCCCAAATAGGCTACAGGAATCAACTTCTGAAGACCCCTGGTTAAAGTAATGGGTGATAAATCCAGGGACACTGTAGGATTCCACTAAATAAAAAACCGGTGTAAAGGGCCCCTGAACAGTTCTGTACAAGCCACAGAATATCTAAGTGCTCCGACTGGACACAAAAGATCTGGGTATGATAGACTGTGAAGATGAGAAATGCCTGGGAGAAGAACAGGAAAAAAATAATATATTCCCTTCTCTGGCAGCGAGAGTGTTCAGTCAGAAGAATCTGTCTGGACAGAGCAAAAAAATATGTGCAAGGATAGAGAGTCTGCTGAACAGGGATGGCATATAAATCAGAACAGCTGCATCCAGAAGCTAACAACAATAGAAATATACCTCGAGGGAAAGGTGATACAAAGAACAGGGGGGCCATAGGTTAAAAGAGATAAAGTGATAACGAATAAAAAAAACAACTCTGAAGTCCCAATTAGGCGATTGAAACAGTTGTTTGGGAACGAGATAGCATAGGAGTCAAAAACCTTTGTATACGTAGAAGAGCGAAAGGTATCAATGAAGGATATTGTATATAATGCAAGATAGAAGCCAGGCTTTTCATAAATCCATGTCAAAAAACTTGAAACTATAGAGACTGTTGGATGAAGTGGGTTGAAGGCTCACCAAAGATACCACTAACAATATGTAGTTCATTTCATTAACTCTTTCAATCCGGGCTTATTCTCTGGGACCATCCTCATAATCATTTTATGCTTGTTAAAGTTTTCATGCTATAACTTTTAAATTAGTAAGCAGATGTTAATGAAATTTGGCAGTTTATCAGTAAACATTACAATGCTTTCATACGCAAAATATCTAATTTTTTTATTAAGTTTTAAAGTTTGTAAAGCAATGTTTCTCTCATGCCTTTTTTTTATGTTTATATCTTGCCTATCTACCATGCAAAGTAATTTTCATTTTAACATTAAAAATACTTTTATGCATCAGAAAATTTTGAAATTTCACATGTTAACTCTTTATAATGTATGGATAGTTATCAAACATTGCTTAAGAAAAAACTTTATATTTTATCTGTTATTTTCAGTAAATAATCTCTGTATGGGTCTGGTAAATTTGACCAATCTCACAACCACCATAAAAAATTAGGAAATAAATATAAATTATGCATCTTTCATTTTAGAATGAACACAAATTATAACACGAAAACATAAATGTTTAAATGAAATAGCTTAAATCTCATAACATTATACATATTTATTATTTTCATTATATTGACCTTTCAGCCATACCCAGCTAACAATACAGAAGTTACAATGATGTGGCTCACTTTCACTAATGTACCATATCAAATAACATAAAACTGACCTTTGGTCTGTACAAAGTAACTTGTCTTGGCTGTGTTTTAGTCAACTAGTATTTTGTAAAATACTGTCACATTTTAATTATTATACATTATATATGTATATAGATTATTTTTATTTTGAAATAAGTTCTTAAAGTTATTTTTCCTAAACATAGAACAGTAAATAAAGAAGTAAAGCAAACAATTATCTCTTCCAGTTACAACCTTAGTACTTAGTTGCTGCTTGATGTAGGTTTCTAAGCCTTTAAAAATTTTGCATGTGGAGAATGTAAAACAAAATATTTTTTAGGTTTTATATATATACTTTTGAATAACTAAAATATCATAAATTACTACATCAATACCACAGAATTCTACTATAATTTATCAAGCTTAGTAACTAAGCTGTACTTTGGTATAAAAAATATGAAATTTCGAGTAGACTAAAGACACAACCTACCTCATTGAAATCTTGAGCTTCCATTTCGTTACTGATATCATATATAGAAGTAAGTATATATAAGGGAGCATTTCCAAAAATAGAAAGAGGTGAGAAGGATGCCACTGTGTTTGATTAATTATGTGAGCAGTATCTTAGCAAATAGAAAAGATAAGAGGCTCTTATTTTATATTCTAGCTTGTCAATATCTGTAATTTGAGTTTCTAATTCATAGGAAACAACAGACTTAGTTTTTTCTTAAGAAATGTTTGATAACTATCTGTGCATGTGAAATTTCGAAATTTTCTGATGCATAAAAATATTTTTAAATCTTAAAATGGAAATTACTTTGCATGATAAAGAGGCAAGATGTGAAAAGAAAAAAGAGGTGAGAAACACTGCTTTACAAATCTTAAAACTTAATAAAAAATAATAATAATTTGTGTATGAAAGTATTGTAATGTTTACTGATAAACTGCCAAATTCATCAACATTCGTTTACTAGTTTAAAAGTTATAGCATGAAAACTATAACAAGCACAAAATGGTTACGAGGTCGGTCCAAGGAACTGAGCTCAGGTTGTAAGAGTTAAAGCTCAACTACAACTGCAATGAAACTTGGGAGATTTAGATGTTTATAAATACAAAACTTAAACATATATTTTACAATAATTTTAATTTCAATGGTAAAGTAACACACAGTATAACTACTGTTGTTATAAAAAGTAGCATAGCAATATTAAGTTAAGTAAATAATAATATGTGTATATATATATATATATATATATAGACACACACACACATATATATACATGAAAACATCTGGATTTATATGGTTATAGTGACATATAACACACTACTTAGGAAACAAATCATATTTTGATTAGCTCCTACATGGAGGTGTATGTTGAGAATTGATATTAAAAACCTTTGGAGTGAACCTTTACTTGAAGACTGTATGGACACCAACCTCAATCTATTAATTTGGGGATTAGTTTCTCTGATGTATATGGATTTTGCATACTTCCATTCTTTGTAATTTTTTTTTTTGCTTAAATTCCAACCAGAAGTGTGCATGGTGTGTCTGAGAGTATTATCATGATGGTTTAGATATTTTTTGTGTAGGGATACTTTTTATTTAGCCTATGATTTGGCTCTATTCTCTAAGTGTGTCATTAGAGTTTATCTCGTGTATTTGATTTTAACTTTCACCATAAAATAATTAGAATGCTATATATGTGATTCATGTGACACTAATCCTGTGTATATAAAATTTATCATTTATATCACACTTTCTGATGAAATTTCAAATTATGCACTTAATCATAATGTGTATACAACTACTGTTGAGATAGTAGCTCTTTATATAAGATGTTGTACACTTGCCTTTAAAGTAAAATATGTATCACGTTCTAATTTAGAAAAAAAACAACTAATTCAATATTAGAAATAAAATTATATACTAACCCTGAGAACAAAGAATTCCCCCAGGTCTAAGAGCTTGTTTTATTCCTTCAAAGTATGGTTTTCTAAACAGACTAGCTGCTGGTCCTACAAACACATGTAATAAAACAAATTACTTTATAATATATCACCAAATGCATTAAAACAGTTAAATACAGATAACAAAGTACAAATTTACTCAGATTATATTCCACTAATTATTTTGCAGTAATCTAATAACTCAAATAGAAAAATCTCAATATTTTAGACACTGGTTTATTATTTACAACAGCAAAAATTATGCATGAGATTGTGGTGTGAAATACTTTATTCAGTCTCCACACTTAGCCTATGAAATTATTGGTTATATTTTAGTTTGGTATTTCAGCTGACTAAGATAGTGATGGGAACAGCTTATATTCATACTTTTTTAAAACAAAATCTTCAGAGTATTAATTCAACTGTGTGACTATATACTTCCAAAATATGTAATTGTGTTAAAATTGTTTCATTCTAACTCATTAAACAAACACTGCAAAGTTAACTAAATCATTATACAAGCTATTCTGTTCAATGACTATGATACAACTGTACTAAATTTCAACAATTTCAATGCTACATAGAATATGTTTTAAAAAATCTCATTGTCCAAGAAGACACATAGCCAATTAAAAGAAGACTATCAGCTCAGAATGCAAAAATTTCTGGCTACCTGAAAGAAAATTTTGACACTTAATGTGCTACTGAATAAATTATTTATTAACTGATAGTCAGAATCTGTTATTGCCTAAACAATCAACTAATTATTAGCAAAAAACACTATTATTTACATATTTTGAATAACCTTTCAAGGCAAAACTTGAAAGAAAATTGGTAGATCAATACCATTCTTTATGTTACAATAGTTTCTTTTTTATTGTTTCATGTGTCAGTCTCCATCAAATCATAGAAAAATACCACTATAGGTTTGCTGTGCAATCACTCATCATATCAAAATCCACGGTCTATCTTGAATTCTAGAATTTTTGCTACATCTTTCTGGCAAACAGTTTACTTCACTACTTATGTTTGAAATTGTAGAAATTAATAATTACAGCACATTTCAGCTCAGTTTGCTTTCATAGGTATAATGAAATGTAGCAATTCACTGGCATGCAATATTACAAGTGATAGCATGAAAAACAGTTGTGAGCAGTAGTTGCAAAAAGCAGGGAAGAGAAAGCAAATGATTATCACTAAAAACCTTACTTTTATGCAAAGAAAATCATTCATATGATACTACTAAAAAAGATGAGCACTAGGCTACCTTTTTATTATTATTATTATTATCACACCTATATTTTTTGCTGAATCACCACCCTGTTACTACTAGGACTAGCTAAAGTTTAAAGAATCAAATGTTTGAGGGCTGTCATACCTCTGGGATCTTACATCATTTCAGAGACCATCAAAAACGGGAGTAAAAGATTCATAAATTTTGAAATAAGTTCTTAAATTTATTTTTCCTAAAACACAGAACAGTAACTATAGAAGTAAAGCAAACAATTATTTCTTCTAGTTACAATCTTTGTACTCAGTTGCTAACTATTTAAAAAATTTGCACATCAAGGATATGAAACAAAATATTTTTTTCTAGGTTTTATATAAACATTTGAATTACTAAAAAATCCTAAATTAATACATTAATACCATAGAATTTCACTATAACTTATCAAGCTTAGTAACTAAGATGTATTTTAGTATAAAGAATATGAAATTTTAAGCAGACTAAAGACGCACCCCACCTCATTGAAATATTGATTCAAAAGAAAGAAATGGTGCCAAGCCCATTAAAATGGCTGAGAAAGCCACTAGGGGGACATTCTGAGCTTCCAATTGGTTATTCATGTCATATATTGAAGTAAGTGTATATAAGAGAGCATTTCCAAAAATGGAAAGACATGGGCAGGGTGCCACTGTGATTGATTTATTACATGAGCAACATCTTAGCAAATTGAAAAGATAAAAGGCTCTTGTTTTATATTCTAGCTTGTCAATATTGGTAATTTGAGTTTCTACTTTGTATGAATCTATAGACTTAGTATTTTAATTTCACAAACATCTAATTTGAACCAGTGCTGCATTCAACATACCACATGACACACAAAAATTGAAGTTTATCTGTGTTTTTTAATATTTACTTTTAAATTAAGAAATTGAGTAATGTATAGTTCTAAAATTTGAATTATAATCTACAGTTTGATACCAAAGTTATTGATATAAATTTATGAAATAGTAGTTCAATAAAATTTTGAATGCGAGTCGAAAAACGAGATGACACAGACTTTCACCTGTGACCTGTCTTGAAAGGGTTAACAGACAGTGAAATTGCATTTAGGTTTGACTTTATATTTTAGTTAATTATGTATTATTTGTGATTTAAAATTCATACATGAAAGGTTAAATGATTATTTTTGTTTTTCTACTCATCGCTTCGCTGGTTATGGGTTATAAAAAGAGGCACAGGCAAACATTATGCCATAAGCTACAGTGGACTCTCTGCTGATCATAACATTATATCGCCCACAGGGACCCATTGAAGTGTGTCAACTTAAATAATACAAAACAATGATTTTGAAAAGGAAAATAAAACATTAAAAAATAAAAATTTTGTGAAAAGGCAAAGATTGAAATTATGCATATGACCCAAAGAAGATATTTTAAGATTCAGTGAAGAGATAAAATGTAAGTATATATATTTCCATTTCTAAATTTTAAACATTTCATTGCACTTTAAATTGTAATAATAGCTAGAGTTAGTGATGTTGTAGAGAAAATGGCAAGTAGAATATAAACATTTACCTTAAAAAACCTTTTCATATTCATTTAGGAAGTTCTAAAGATTATGCAAGTGAAATATAAAAACTGTAAGATAAAAATAGTGTTTTTATACTTAACGGGAAAATAACTTTGCAGGTGAACTATTCAAAGACCAAGCACAAATGATTACATTAGATAAGGAATATTTAGTAGAAATAGCAGAAGGTTCTTGTCAAATTTCAAACAGTTTCATCTACTAATTTCATTTCTATGAAAACATTTCATGAGAGTTAAGTATCTCTCCTACAATAGACGTAGGTCATCCTGATAGGGTTAAAGCCTCTCCCACTACAATGACGGGTTGCAACCCACAGTCTCAGAATAACTGTAGTAGGCAACTTAGGAGAGAAAATAATCCAGTCCAAAACATATAGCAATATCCCATTTTTTTAGAAAACATCATGATGTCAATAACTTTATCATTTCAGAGTACACACTAATCTATCTGTAACGGAACATCATTGGTTCAGAATATACAATTGTCTGTTAACTCTTTCTGTGATTTGCCCAAGATATCATGAGTGCCCTCCATGTTGCAAAAAATATTTGCCCGAGTTAATTGAGGCAAACCATTTCTTACCATATTTTTAATTATTTGTCTTGAATTTATTTGCATGTTATCAAGTATTGCAATATATTTTTGCTAGATGGCATAGAAAATGCTGATTTTGCTGATCTTTTTTGGATTTATTCTGAATTATTTATCCAGTACTCTAGTCAGCAAAATACATTTTTTTCTGGTAGGGAGTAACATTTTCTGTTTGTAGCCTATAAATCAGTTTTTGCTTTATTTGTACGCCATTTTTAGTTGCTGAAATAGATTTTGAAAGTGCCATTGATTGTGATGAAATTAAAAACAGATTTTCTGAAAGTGAAACTAATATATCAGAACAGAGTAGTTAAGACAATGACAATGATGACACTGCCTTATTACTATCTCAGGTATGCTGTAAAGTAGACACTACCATACAATATCCCCCTTCTCCTCCTAGGTACCAATTTCATGGTGCTTCTTCATTGAATATCGTTGTTGACTAATGGTAATATTTTGCAGTTTTCAATATTTGTTTGATAATGTATTAGAAGATATAACAATGGTAACAAACTGCTATGAAGCTCAGATCATAAACGAACTTGACTCATTAACCCTATTTCCACGAGTACCATTTACTACACGTGACACAAGGTTTTAGTGTCTTACATTCAAAATTTTATTATAATACTTTTTGTTTATGTTATACCAATTAGAATATAATAATATCTTAGCTAATAATCCATATTGTAATAGTATACAAGTTTTAAGTTCTTAATTATACAAGGAAATATATAAAAAATCCAGAATTTCTGCTAGTATGACACCCATGACATATTTTGTCTTAGCATGTCACCATCCCTATTTTATCCATCACCCATCGAAAATGTACAAAATTAAACGTAAAATATTCTCTATAAAATCATTATTGCTCAAACAGACCATAATTTTTATAGCCTTCAATTTTGTTGGGTTACAGAGCTATCAAATAGAAAATCAGACCCATCTTGCCACACCCACCTGTCACATCCTCTCTTTTACAATTCGTTGATATTTCTCTCTTAAGTTTCATCATATATTACCTATAATTAATAGAAAGTCAAGGTTTTCATCTATCAAATGCGTATTGTATAACGCTGTGTTTTGAACAAATAACCGCCAATTTCACTCAGAGTAGCAATATTGTTCCCGTGGGAAAGTTAATGACTAGCTTGGATGAATTTGTAATGGATCTTGTCACATAGTTAGACAAGCCAGGAAAATTTCTAGAAGTAAGTGAATTTATAATGGTTAGAGATGGCTTGAATGGGTAATGAAGAGAAACTTTAATACAAGTTTAACATAACAGCAAATGTACAACGTTTCGACAAGGTTTTGTCATCATCAGGTAAGTGAATTTAACTACTTTTTTGCATGTTATTAGTCTATATTCTTTGGTGCATTATTTAATTAAATAAAAATTGTTAAGTGCTTTACTTTAATCACTAAAAAAATCAAGCTTAACTCTCCTCAACAATCGAGGGCAAGAAAAAAGAAGATTGGGTAAGTACGTTATTTCTTGTTTTTCATATTTATTCTTTATTATTATTATAAAAGAAACTACAATTAAAGTATGGATCCTTTTAAGTTATTTAAGACTAGATTAGATAAATTAAGTAATAATAATAATATAATTAAAATGGTTCATGAGGCATTCACACAAGCAGCTCGTGGGTAATGTAATTTGATACCGTAATGTGAGCTGCACGTTCTCTGAGTGATTTACAATTTATAATGTTGCGGATAGTATTTAGACATGGTTAAAGGGCAATAAAACAATGAAATTTAATTACAAATAGATGTATAATGTTACGAACTTAGAGTTACTTAGGATAAACGAATGTAGTTTCATGTTACAATATGAATGTCATACTAGAAAGAAAAGAAGGTTAATTTAGGTTTATTTCGATTCTTTTTTTGGTGGTTACAAGGTCAGTCAAGTTGACCAATCCCGTTTTGAGATAGGATAGAGAAAATAACATATAAACTATAAGGATTTAGTGAAAAAAACGTTTGAAATGTATTTAGGAGGTTTTAGGGATTACACAAAGGAAATTTGAGATTTTTGAGATGATGAAAAGTATTTGTAATATTAACATGAAAATTACTTTGCACACGGACTATTCAAAACAAATACTCAATATATTCATGGACAAAGCTTGATTTTATTTTATTAAAAATACTTCACTAACAAATATGACTTTCTGAATGTGAAAGACTTGTACTATTAACTGAAAGACTGC